ACCCCTCCATGATGGTGCTGTAGCTGCATCAGCTGTTCTTGGAGATTGGACATACAATACGAGATATATTTTCAAATTTCATTTAAGCAAAAGTGTGGACAGAGAAGTATGGGGTTCTGGAGGCTATGAATGCAAGAAAAAAGGATAAAAGAATGAAACAGAAGATACTACTGGAGGAAAGAAGAGACTAGGAACTGAATTAAAATAGGAAAAGGTACAATAAAAATAACAAGGAATCAGCTCAGACAAAGGACTTCTGGGGAAGAAATGGTGGATTGAAAATGGCTCTGTGAAAAGTGGAGCCAGTGACCATGATGGAATGAAGAGCTGATGAGTGAAGCTCTTCGATAATTCCTCTCTGGACAAGGAGAGGACCTGAGATTGCCCACATGCGCTCCATACAACTGCTCCTTGCGAGGAGACCACAAGATAGCAGTCTCCATTGGGTTTAGAGCTCTGGGAGACAAGGGAATAGCCAACTTGCTCAAACTGTGGCTGGCGCCTTTGAAAGGACACTAAGTTTGCATACTTCCTTTTCTAATCACTTTCAGAAATCGCTTGTTAACTGATTTTCAACTATTAGGAACCTTTGGATTGACAGGTTTTACAGCACTGGGTGAGTTTCCTTCAATACTTAGCGAAAGAAGTTTTAAATACAAGTTTATAGACATAATTTTGTGTGTGTGTGAATAGCAAAAAGGTGATTAAAACTTTGATTTTAGAAAATTATAAATGGTCTAAGGGTCCAGATAAATTTGAAATAAGATTTTGGAATTAATTATAAAGAATACTTCCTGTGGGAAAATGCTTTCGTTTTGAATTCTTTAAAAAAATTAATAAAACTTTAAAAATTTGACAGTAGAGGGAACTAGTGTTTCCCTCTAGGAACTAAAGGGAAATTTGAACTACAAGGAACTATAGATTACAATTAAAGAAGAACACTCAAGCTCAACTTACAAATACAGAATGAAGCAAAATATTTTAACAATGGACATAGTGAAGGATATTTTTGAACAATGGACCCAGAAGTTAATTTTAAGACTGTGTTTAAAAGATGTTATGGAAGAGGAAAGACGAGACTGATTTGAAAGTGGATTTAAAAATGACAGGCTACAAGAATGACAGGAAAAAGATGTTTTACTGGACATTCAAAAGAAACTTGCTGATGTCTTAATAATTAAAAGGGATATGCAAATAACAAACCAAAAGAATGACCTGGGTAATTTTCCTATATTGGATTTATAAGAGGCTTGTTAAAGCTTTGAACAATTTTGTGAGAAGGGACAAAGAAAAAATGAAAAGAAATAAAGTTCTAGGACATTATTTAAAGGGACTAAAGATCAAGATTGTTAGAAGTAAAAGGAAGGAATATAAAGATTATTTATTTGATCAAGGTTAAAATAGATATACTGTTATCTCTGGTAGGCCTTAATGACTTTTGCTGACATCAGGACTGAAATGCCGAGGCTTTATGGATTTATTTATAGATAAGAGATAGGATGGGGAAGAGATCATTTGCTGTATTTTAAGACAAGGTGATAGATTACTAAAATTGTTTATACTTGTTGTGATAAAGGGGGAAGTCATTTCTTTACATATTTCTTTTCTTTTTCTTGGCTATATTCTTATTTTTTCTTTCTTTTTTATTTTTCTTTCTCTTTTTTCTTTTCTGCACCTTCTATTTTTTCTTTTTATTCTTTTTTAAAGTTTGTATTAGTTTTTATTGCTGTAATTGTAATTTTAATAAAATTACTATTAAAAAAAAGGAATTGGCTCAGCAAATAATTTGCTTAGCAAAAGATGTGAAAATCAAAGAAGAGGCACAATTATTTTTCATAACCATTTTTCTCTGACAGAGAAAAGGACTTATTTTTTTAAGGCAATAAAGCTTTGTAAAACAGAGTTTTAAAATATTTGTGTTAAGAACAGAATGCTATTCATCAATCACTTTGGATTTGTTAATGTTGCTGCTGCTACCACTTTCTTGAGTAAATAATTGGAAATGGAGAGTCAACAAGAGACTGGAGACTTCAGCTGCCAGCAGTACTTCTCCTTCAAGTCACACAAGAATCATAGTCATCTGCAGCCCCCATGGCTTTGTGCTTTGGGCTTGGAGGTGGGACAGATCATACTGCCCCCTCCCCCACGATCTACTGCAGGCACTGGAAATGCTCATCCTGCAGGGCCTGATGACACTATTCAGTGACCTCCATATGGTGTGCTGTTGCTCAATCCAATGTGGGTGTTGTACAACACAACTATTGCAATTCTTCAGTGAAGCAGTGCAGTGCTCAACAAATAGTACTAAAGCAATTTAATAGTTATCCCATGTTTCCAGTGTTGCCTTGGAATTTAAATGGGAAATTTTGTGTAGGAACAGAAAAACTGTCATTGCAGTAAAGCAATAAAATGCTTCAAGCTGTTTTGCCACTCTTCTACAGGATCAATTACCCTACTCAGATTATTGCAGCAATGGTACCTGTTGATTCATGTCAAAAAAGACCTGCATAGCCCTATATACACAACAATGGTAGAGAATGACCAGCCATGTAAAGTTTAACTATTTTTACAAACATATGTGGCATACCTACAAGTTGTTTGCAGAACATGGTATTCCATGAAACATAAGTTAAGAAGTACTGTAGTTAACTGTAGTTACTAAAATTAGAACTGAAAGCCCTCATGGTTTATTATAAAACTAAGAATTGGAAAGCACTTAAATAAAGAGCTCATGTATATAATAACAAAAAGCCATGAACAAATAGAAGAGAAAATATTCTTCTAAGCAGTTTTCTTCTTAAATAATATTGACACACTTAATATAAGGCAGATACAGAAGCTCAGATGCACAAGTTACTACATCTTAGCCCTGTGGTAGAAAAATTGAAACAGGGAGTAATATCTCTTAAGCTTGAAGAATGGAAGGATATGGGCTTATAATGAATAATAAACCAATATTAAAATTCAGGGAGTAGAGGGCTGAGGGCAATAGTGGGCAGGAAAATGATGTAAAATGGATATGGCTACACCGACTATGGTTTTAAAACTGTTAAGCTATAATAACTATAGTTGTATTCTCTGCCTCAAACTGAGTAGAAACCATGCTGCCAAATTTCAGCAGCAGAGTTAGAGAAGGCTTCAGAGGTTAAAGAAATAAAAATCAGAGACCAGATGCATCAGAGTTGCCTGCCTGTGATGCAAGATTTCTAACTGAATAATTCTTTTTATATTGGATTCAGGATATTTTGTTTTTTGTACATTTCTGATGTTCAAGATTTTTAAAATTTGAAAGCTACAAACCATGTTAATATAGAAGCATGATGTGTATCATATTATAAAGATCCTATAACACCTATACTGTGTAGAATCCATCTTAATTTTAGGTGATTTTTAAAATCTTCAAGCTCTAAAAAGTCTCTCTCAAGGGCCACCCTATTCAAGTCTGCAAGCACTAAATTTTATGTTAGAGATTTCACAACACTATAGATATAGTGGGTGGATAATAGAGACTTAAAAGTTGACATACAGTAATGCTGAAATAAATGATATTGTGGTTATGATTAATAAATACCATTATTTAAAAATAATAACTAAATATAGTATAAATAGATTTAGATGCAAACCAGGTTTTTTTCTGTTATAATGTCCAAAGTCTTTTATTTGGCCTCACTGCTATCTACTTTGAGGAGGCAGCTCAGGTTTCATTTCAGACAACTTTCTTCATGTTGCTTCTTAAATGATAAATACAATCTGATAACTTTTTCTAAAATGTACTAGATATTTGATATTTTTAACAGATTACTGTGAGCCAACCTGAACAGCAGCATCTATAAGCCATGATGATGTCAAAATGACCATACATGCATGATTATGTGATGACATGTGTTACATCATTTGCATGATGACAACTTGTGCATCATGACATTTCCCACCTGCCCCTCATGAACTAAAAAACAGGGTATAATTGCTAACAATTAAACTCCAAAAGGAAAGCAAGCTGGTGTAACATTACATGTTCCAAAGATACAACTGATTAGAATTCTAAGATATTCTAAATGAGCAAAGAATGGAATAAAGTAATGCCGTAAAGGCTTACTTTGCAACTAAACTCACACACTGGATGTTTTTTCAGTACTAGGAGCAGGTTGTGGAATATGCTAAATCGAACTGTGGCTTCAAAAGTATGTGCTGAATGCATTCAAATCACCTCTACCTGTTTCACACCCTTTACATGAAGGAGCAGGTCTTCCAGATTATATGGCTTACTGCACTCTCTCTCTTCCTAAAAAGCAAACACTGAGAGCAATATGTAATTTAAAAAAAAAAATTTCAAACAAGGTCATGTCCTTCTATGTTATTGGAAGGACTGTGCCTATAAACCTCTGACTGGCATGGTGGCTGGATGCTACTCAACTGCCTCTCACGACAATACAGTAGAGGAAGTCCGGGAATACCGAGAGCTTCCTGGAGTTACAGGCCATGCTCCGAATTAGAGGTGACCCAAGGAGCCTACCAGCCCCAGCAGCCTTCTTCCAGTGACCGTGCCCACCACCTAGCAGACAACTGAGAGTGACAATATCCGGCCGGCGCCTGACCGTGCGTTCTCACAAGCATTTCCAGGCTCTGATCATTCTTACTACGCCTGTCACAGAAGTAGTAACTGCAAGCCGAAGCAGCAGAGAAGTTCAGAGCCGCCTCCCTAGGAAAAAGTGCACCAGCCCGCACTGCCTGATGGGAAGCGTGGGCTTAATTTAAACGCGCACCACGCGAACTGGCCGTATCCCACCGGCGTTTCTCCGCTCGCCCTCTTCCTGCAACTTGCAGGCAACCGAGTAATTCCCACGTACTGTTTTTCCCTCACGGCCGCGGCTAAGCCATGCTGGAGCTATGGGGCCTCTCCCGTTTCCCCTGCCAATTTGTTACGAGAAGTAGGCGCCGTGACGAAAAGCTGCAACTGGGATCGGAGCAGGGCCTGAGGCTTCAGCTCTCGTGTTGCTCACCTGAGCCGCTGTGCTCCCCACGCGCTGACAGACCCGCAACATGATGCCAAGGACGGACCGCAGAAGCTAAGATAGGGTTGCGAGCCGCCGCCTGTCTGCCCCCGCAGCGGCAAACGCGCAGGGGCCCGTCAGAGAGGGAGGAGGAGCTTGTATTTACCAATCAAAATAGACCAAACGGCGAATATGCAAATATCCTCCCCTTTCTTACAGAGACTATCATGGCGGCCAATTGGACTATAAGCGTCATCAGCCACGCGCACTAAAAAACTCAGAATGAGTCGCTCTTGGTCCTGAAGAGAAGGAACGGTTTTGGCGCCATGTCTGGGATCTGCTATCTGGGTGGGAACCCTAGAAACTGCACGAAGATGTGTGCATGTTCTTTCAAATTAAAGAAAGAATAATATGAATAATGCAATTTTAATTTTTCACTATTTAAATTGTTGCTCTAATGAAAATATGACCTGTCGATTTCAATAGCCTTGCAAAGTCTGCTGTTGTATGGGAGGGGAGCAAGAAATAAAACGCGAAACAATGCTATATTGGAATAATTATTATTCCAGCATAGCGTTTTCATGGAAGTTATAACAAAAATCAAATAATTAAAATGAATACAGTAGATAAGCTCAACATCACAAAACATAAGAGCAGTACAGTGTCAACCAGTTAATACTGTTAAAGATATAAAAAGTATGCCAGCTTGCATGGTTCAGTCAGGGACATAGTTTGTTCAATTTAGGTTGTCTGAACCCCATAAAATGTTATTGCTCTTCCCCTGCTCCTTTTTTATATTCTATGCCTTAAAAAAATAAGTATCTGGCACTGGGATAACAATCTTCCTCTAACCCCAAGTCAAATATGTCTAAATAATGTTATTATTATTGTTCCCTATTTGTTGACACAGCTGCTAGCACATCAACTGCCTCTTCTGCAATTTTTAATTGTTCAATAGGTATAGCATCTGAACCTGGTACTTTCCTATTTGATCTATTTTGTCTCTTGGACTTCTCTTTCCAGCAGAGCTGATTCCTGGATATAAATGTTTCTGTCATTCTATAATCCCATTGTAAAGGTTTTCAGTATAACACTTTGATCTTTTTGTTCATTTGCTTCTATTAGATCTCTTCCATTGTTACTCTTTTAGATCTCCCATGATTACTACCTTAGCTGTAGATTTTCCTATGATATCTTTGATCTTTTAAAAAAATACATTTCATTTTTCTGTTTATTTTCTTCTGGTGGGTAAAATTTATAATTGTGATATCTTTTTTTATCCCTTCTAGCTGAATGTTGAAATTCTGTGTCCCTTGTTGCCCAAGACTTATCTCTTTTTTCCTGGCTGTAATGAAAGCTACTTCGATCTTTTCTTCTTTGAAATTCTGGGATTTTATTTTCTGTTTTTGTTTTCATAACATATGTTCCCATAGCTCCTCAGGTTCTCTTTTGTTAAGTTGTAATGAATGTATTCCTTACAGTGATCTTATATTCTGCATATATGTCATCCAGGTCAAATCTCTGGTCTAAATTTAAGTAATTTTAAATGTCTAATTTAAATGGAATTCATTATCTGTTTAACACTTTGCACTTAACAGTGTTCTGACTGGATTGTACTTGCTACTATGCAGCCAACCTGACTCCAGTATTTACTGTATTTGGATATAGAGTCTGTGTTGCTTGGAGCAGAAGCCCACTTGCTTAACAAGAGTTCCCACTCCCATTGGTATGATTGTCAGGGTCACTATGGAATCCTCCTACCACATCAAGGTGGTAATCTGGGCAGGCTGTAAGGTTTACTATAATGTACATATCCAGAAGGTAAGTTGAAACTTGTAAATTGAGGCACTTCAAAACTGAGAGGTACTGTAAAGAACTCATTTTTGTCTGAATTTCCATCTGTACTCAGTAAAAAAAAAAATTTTTTTTTCAATTATCACATTGTTATAATAATTTTTGGGAAGCACTTAATTCTCTCTTTTCCAATGCACTGCATAAGGTTTTGTGTTTTTTTTCATTTATCTGCATGCTTATGTTTTAGCTATTTCACTATCTGGAAATATTCTGTCTATAATTTTTCTGTAGCACAAAAAAAACAAAAAACAAAACGTTATGTGTTCACTCCTCTAATTATTAAATTATATAGATAGCTCATAATCGCTTGAGAGGATTTTAAATAATTTTGACTTTCTCCTTTTGTTCTATGCTTGACAATATGGGCAGACCTGGGGTCCCACTGGGCACTCACTTACTGGCCACTGCTTGCCCCACACCTTCAACATACCTGATTGCCAGGGTAGGGCTACTATATCTGGGCTTCAACTAGATGTCAGAAAAAATGTACAATGTTCAGTATCTCTTTGCTGTCATGTCTAAATTTTTGCAGCTGAGTTCATGATAGTCCAAATGGGATCCCAATAGAAGCCATAGTAAAGAGTGACATAGAAAGAAAGCAAAGGTGAGTGTTGGAAGAGCAGGTGCTGCTACTGGTTCTTCTTTTGCTGCTACTTGTGAGTCAACCATTGTGGCAGAGCAGGAACTGAAAGCAGAGAATTTGAAAGTCCTTGAGGCTTCCTTGGCAATTGCTGCTAGGTGGTCTCTTCTCACTCTCCTCTGTATGGATAAATACATAAGGAATACATATGATATTACAGTTGGTGATGGGAATTTATGTGTATTATTTATGCAAATGATACTGTTTTGTAATGAGAACCTGAATGATCTACAGTAAATGTTAGACTGAAGGATGCAAAGAGATACATGAAAATATTTCATTAATATGAAAATTAATGTCTGAAAGACCAAGGTAGTTGTTTTTGACAGAGAAAATGGAGTGAATGATTGCAAGTTATACATAAACAATGAAAAATTAGAGCAAATAGATACATAGACGAGTATGAGTATGGTGTAGTGGCTAGGATGCTGGACTAGGGTCAGAGAGACCCAGATTTTAGCCTACCCTCAGCCACAGAATTTCGCCATGCAACCCTGGTTTGGTCATCCTCTTAGCCCAACTACCTTACGTGGTTGTTATGCCAAAAAATAGAAGGAAAGAACACTATGTATGCTGCCTTGAGTTCCTAAAGATGGAAAAACTGATGGAGAAATTTTAAATTGTGAAAATGTTAGTAGAAATGAATAGTAGTGGTGAGTTGAATGTGGTCAGTTGTGAGGGATGAACATTTTTTGAAAGAAATGAAAATGCCTGTGTATAAGAGGCATCTTCTGCCCACATTGTTGTATGAAAATGAAAGTTGGATATCTCAGAAAAAACAAAAGTAAGCTGAATTCAGTGGGAATGGAATATTTAAGAAGTGTGCATTTAAAACAAGAAAAGACAGAATAAATTGAATAAGTGCTAAGGGTGTCCTAGATCTGAAAAGTACATTGAGGTGGTCTGGTTATATACAGAGAATGAATGAGGATCAAGTTACAAAACAAATACTTGAGGAAATACATGAGTGTCCAGCACAAACAATGATGATGTGAAAAGATTAAAACATGCATTGTGATTTTAGGACACAAAACCCAGCTTTTTGTACTTGACTGCAGATATCATGCACAAGCATAATTGATGTACTTTCATGATTTCCTCTCCTTGTCCCTTGTGCAGACACCTATGTGAAGGAAAGGTCAGTGGGTCAATGGGAAAGGGAAAACTGAGAAGTCATGTGTGGTTGGGTGGAGTTGAGGACAGCCTAAAAAAGAGAGCTGAGAAATCTAAAGAATGAAAAGCAATTCTATAGTTGTTGTGGAAGCAAGGACAGTTTGCTAGGATAGAAAGGCATGGGGAGGTACAGTGAATGGCTTGGTGTAAACTATATTTAGTGGTGGTTCCCTTTTTCTTAATCTCATACCTTTAATTTCTTTGCATTCCTATTTCTTACTCCTTTTCTGCACTCTGCATAAAGTTGCTTATCCCAAAAGGGAATTGCATGAGGGATTTGAATGTATGTACAGGTGGCTGATATTTCAGGTTCATATAATATGATAAGCCTGACCTGGATTAAGAACTTTGTGTCATAGAGTAGATAGCAGGGCATAAGAACTCATTAAATGAGACTTTTGGTTTAGCATTTCATGTGAACCAATAACTGAATGGTCTAGCAACACTTTTTAAAAAAATCAAATGCCTGGGATTTCATTCCATTTCATATTGGGAAGACAGTGAGATAAAGCATACTAAGGTTGCATCAGATCTAGATAAGCCACAACAATTTTGAATGGAAAGGGAGAAGGTCATATAGAAACAGTAAAAAATGGTAATAATTGCTCACACCATTTATTAAATCATGCTTTGCTTAACTATGATTTACTGAATAAGCCACAGTTAACAGCATTCATACAACACACTCAGAATAAAAAAAAATTGTATTAGAGACTAGCATGATGTCCTGATCAGATAAACTGACAAGTGAGTTTAGTTTCCAAAAGAAGTTTCTTGGCATTCTGTTGTAGGAAAAACAACTGTCTTATGACACCTTATGGATTAACAAATTTATTTTCAAATAGCCTTTTGTGGATCATGTCAAATGGATGGAGTAAAGTCCTGTAAGGGATTTTATATTTAATAAAGTTACAGCAGAATGTAAGAGTTGCTATGAGAATTAGCAGACAGGCTAAGCCATGGTCATAAATGCACTGGAGAAAATGTTGTGTTACCTCAACAGGCAGTAAACCTACAATCATATGAATTTTCAGTCTTAGATATTATACATATTATTGCATTGGATGACTATTTTACAATATAATGTGACAAGAATCACCCCCTTGATTTTTACAAGCGATGGGATGAAGAGATCCAGAACGTTGCTTAGATTCGCTTTCGCTTTTGCTTAGAATTGACTCCCTACAGTTGCCGTAACGGGCAAAGCGGAGGGCAGGAAAGAAGATGGCTGCGTTTGCTGCGGCGCGGCGATTTTCAGGTCAGTGAGCGAGACGAGAATCCAGACGGAGGTTTCTTGGGTCCAGTGGTTCGGGACGAGCAGAGGAGCTAAAAAGGACTGCTTATTGCTGCGAGATCTTTGGGATGCGTCTATAAACTGCGTAACCATACACGGACGGTGTATACACGGACGGATTCTGTACAACTTCCCATATTTAAAGCTGTAGTTTAATTGGGCTCTTCGTAGCAAGACGAGGATTT